GATGGCCTCCAACCTAAGAGCGATGGCCTCCAACCTAAGAGCGATGGTCTTCACCCTACTAGCGATGGCCTCCAACCTAAAAGCGATGGCCTCCGCCCTACTAGCGATGGCCTCCAAAGCAACCGTGTTTCTTAGCTTTCGATCGTGATGGGTGAACAAAGCTCCCCAGCCTCTCTCCAGCAATTTCCCCGTTCACAGGCTGAGATGGCAGCATGAAACGAGATTGAATCCTCAGAGGGCTTCCGAGGGTTCAAGCTTTCAATTTCCAAAACTACAGCAAGGCTTGCGGCTGAAAGGCTTGCTGAAGCTTTCTCTCTCCCATGAGCGCCAGCATTTCCAATGACATCTGCCAATTGCTGGCCCCTGGGCGTTCCCAATCGACCGCGGCGTGCAACGACCGCGGTGTGGAAAAAAAGGATCAACGACTGCCACGGGCGGACGGCCCCAACCGCTTCTCGCATCGAACTGCAAGCTGTTCAGTGTCGTGGCGTAAACCAGGGGTGTTGCTTTTGGTGTGGCCTGGAGTAACCTGGAGTAACTGAGCTTGGGTTTCTTTGTCTGAAAACATTTCTACAGTCCTGCAGGTTTGAGCTGCCCATTCTAGCCCAAGACTCTGCCACAGGAACTGATGATGGCATTGAAGGTGGTGGTGTCGTATTCCACTTCCTCCCTTAGTGGTAAGTCGTAAGTCTGACACATCGTCACCATGTCCACGCCATGAAGTCCAAAGTGCTCAACTGCACCAGGTCCATTGCGGTCCAGTCTCATCAAAAGCACTGCCTTCACCCATTGGCTGCTGTCGTTCAAACTGCTGATGACCGTGTTGGAGCACACAAGGTTGGAGAGCACGCCGTGCCTCCTATCACACCGGATCTGTCCAAGCGAAAACACGACACTTCGCACAACCAAGCGCCCCCACTCCATCTGTTTCATGATCTCACAACTGGATCTCCACATCGACGCCATAGCCGAGCTGAAACTGTAAGCATCCTCGGAAACCGCTGAGTTGTGCTGAGGATGCTTAAGGCCCATCATGCCAAGACACGGCACGGTTTTGCTCTTTCCGTAGACTTCCTCAGTGCAAAAAATGGCACTCGATTCGCGATTCGCTCCCTTGAGGCAGGTTGGAAGCTGCGTGTTGTCTCCACATGGTGGTTCGACCAGCGTCCCAGCAAGAGAAACGCCTGTTCCCAGTGCCCAAGCTTGGCGATGCAGCAGTTGAACGCAACAGAGTCCGCAATTCGCTGGTCCTTAGAAGACATCAGAAGCGAGTTCATTCATTAGGAAGACTCATCAGGAGACAGTACTGGCAAACTTGCAACCAGCATGCTTGCATGCAATGAAGACTGTGCAAGGAGAACCCCCAATCGGCGCCACCAGAAGCAAGCATTGCGCCTCAGTCACTCGACCATGTCAACTTGCCAGTCATGGATATGTGGTCTGTCCATCCACCCTGCCAAGGGCACCGTATACAACAGCATCGCAGCCAACCTGCTTCAAGTTGCATCTGCAAGTTACATGTAAAGCAATCTGATGATGGCAGTCTGTATGCAAAAGCCCGAAGCACCTCAATGCTTGACATCTCTTGCAAAGCATCTTGCCAATGGGAAATGTTGAATAGCGAGCTGTATGTGAAGCCGTCTGCTTCCACCTCCAAGCAGAACCTGAGGTCCAAACCGAATGGCAGAGGGCTCCCAGCCCTTCCTATGAAGCACCCCATGGCAAACGGCAGCTGGGTGAGGCATTTATGTTTCGTAGTGGATAGGCTGGCAGATACCAGCGCCTATCTGCCATGATTTGCCAAGCAGCATTCGTTGCAAAAGATGTTGTGCAACAGCCCACGAACTACGCCTCAGGTGTCACCAATTAGCACAAAAGGATGCTCAAATGTCAACGAAACAGCACCTTTCTGTGCTGAAGAGATGCGGCATGGCACTGAGCGCTGCATTGATGGCGATATTGTCGTCAAAGATCTCCTGGCCGAATCCAAGATACCACGCCCCCTGAGTCGTAAACACCGTGACAAAAAGTGTGGATCGACCTTCACCTGCTTTGGGCGATCGCACTCCTGCTATGGCGAGACAAGGACTGACAAAGCTTTTTCTCCTGCCACAGCGTGCCAAGGGCATGACGCCACATGCCAGCTCGGGCACAAATACTGGCGCAGGAATTCATCGTCACCACCTCGAAAAGATTTGTGAGCATCTTTCAGTGTTTTCACACAAACCCGACACCAACCGCCACGAGCACGGCAGTTTTAACCCAGGATCATCGGGCTGCATCGCGGCATTCCGGCTTTGATCTGTCACAGACAAACCCAATTGCCACTGGCAAGCTCTCTCATAGACGTTGATGACCTCTCAGGGGTCAACTCTTGGACGAAACCGTCCAAGAAAAATGAAACAAATATTGTCCAATTCTACGACGTGATGAGCACTGAATCAGTCTGGTGGCGCTGTTGACTGTGATCACTGTCGCTTGAGTTCGGCTCTGCTGCATGAACTCGAGAAACTCCAGGGCAGATTCCCAGCTCGTTGCCTGAAAAGAAAGGCCCATGAACTAAAGAGACCAAACAGAAAAAATAACAAACAAAAGAAACAAATAAGACAGAAAAGCATCAAGAATCAAGTTCTAAAGACAGAGAAACATGAAAACCTGCAGGTCTAAAGAAAGAAGAAAAACATCAAGTTCTGAGCGGGAGCCGCGGGAGTAGACAGTTGAGTCTAAGACCACGAGGGTGAAGAACTGGACATTCCAAGTGAGTTCGCTCCCTGATGCTTTTCTTTACGCCCAAGGCCATCGCTAGTAGGGTGGAGGCCATCGCCAGTAGGTTGGAGGGCATTGCTAGCAACTTGAAAGAATATTGTTCTGTAGAGTTTAATGAAACTTAGATAAGTTTCCAGATAAATCTAGGAACCAAATGAAGTGCGTGAGCTATCCTGCGTCCAGTAGCTAGGTGCGAACGTTTCCCTTACTTAAGTAGGCGCCTACTTAATTAAGCACTGTAAGGACGGGCTAAAATAGAGCGAAAGAACCGGGCGAAAAACAAGGGCCTTGGCACTAGCTGCAATTGCGATGTTGAAGGTGATCACATCGGGAGCCTGGATCAAAAAACACTGCAAACCTCAGTTCCACAAACGTAGCCTGAGCCATTGGGCACCAGATATGCTGCAGTGGCCAAAGTCTGAGGTCAAATGGTCTCGAGCTACAGGAATGGTTCTATGGTCGTGGTTTTCGTGCCGCATGGTGCATTTGAGACAGCATGGCTTTCACTCACATGTCGTGGTTCCACACTCCGTACCACCTTGCCTCCACCCCATGCTTGTGCAAAAACCTCAGGATCTGAAGTGCCTTTGGAATCTGCTTGCGTTGGGCCAGCTTCTTCCACACCTGCACCGGTCAGTCCGAGCACGACGTCGTCGCGTTGTCGTGAGTGGCCCCAGCTTCGGTCTAAGCCGCTGTCTGGTGGCGCCTGGCCTGTGCTGCTTCTCGTGGATGATTTTGCCATTCATCCAAGTGGGTTTCAAGCAGGTCCTGTGCAGAACGACAAGGGGGGTCCCCGACGCCGGCAAGTCGACTTAAACAGTCCAATCTCTTGTGTTCGCCCTCCTGCAGTTGACATCGGGACAGCAGGGCAAACCTGAAGAAACCACTGAAAAACGTACAACAGGACTGACACGATACCTTTGGACTGGGCGAGCCTTTCTGGGCCACCAAGGCATAGCATGGACCAACTTGAACTTGACAGGTCCCCGTCATCTGGATCTTCCTTTACGATCCAAAGGCCTGAAGAGAAAAGAGAAAGCTGCTGTTACAGGATATCTTCAAACAGTTAGATCAACTGGATCCAGGATCAAGTCTGTCTGGGTCGCTCTATGCCACCCCAGTCAATCAATTCTGGCCTCATTTGCCGCTCCATCGTTGAATGGCCACATCGAGAACATGGCTCCATCACGCAGGAAAAATCTGGAATCGATTCAAACAAGGACAGGAGACTCCTTTAAAAGTATCTTTGTGTTCGGCTTCACTTCAGTGATGAGCGCGCCAAGGATGTGGAAAAAGTGCAGGTGTCCAAATTTTGCGGTTGTCACGAAGCAGCAAGGACAGCAAGGCCGTCAGCAACATGTTGCAAGATGTTGCAAGGAGCTTTCACTTGACTCAAAGCTTGAAAGGCCCATCGGGTCGTTCTATCTTTTCATCCCAAGCCATGGTGCCACTCTGCCAGCCTCAGTCGTCGGCTTTGACTCATTCGACCTACAGTAGTGCTGTTGGCAGGTTTGCCAAGATGCGTTGCAAGGGTGCTGCAAATCGAGGACTCTTTGGAGTCAGTTTGCTCAAGGGCAGGGTCAGATCCGCTGGCAGAGTGTTCGTCGCCGCCTCAGCCATGGCCCAGCATGGCCGCACCAGCGGTGCTATAGCTAAAGCCACGCTGAGGCGACGCTTACCCGTGTGAAGTGCGGCACACCCCAAAAAAAATGCCAAAAGGACATGTCCACTGCGAAGTTGGAACCAATTTGAGCAAGACGACAGCAATCACTTGCATACGTGAAGTTACATGTCTCCACCAAAAAGCAGGCTTGACCAAGTCTTAACTTCGTGTTCTAGTGGAAGCCTTGGGCAACGGGACCAAACTGCGACAAGGTTGAAATCCACAGGTGCAAGTAGGCTGGCAAAAGCTCGGAGTACTCACTACCTAAAAAACAGAAGTAGGTTGGAGGCCATATTGCTTCTAGGTTGGAGGCCATCGCTATAGTAGGTTGGAGCCTCATGTTTACCAAAGATGGACCCCTCAAAATCCCGAACAGGCGCTTGAAGTTCTCCTCGACTGTCTTTGAACATGAGGGAGTAGCGGTGCAAGAAGACGCGGTCACAGAAAAGGAAATCATCCACTTGTGTTTGCCAAGCCTAAACTGAAGCGCAAGCACAGAGGCTGAAAAAGACCAAGAGGTCCATCGAACCCATCAAGACGTCATTCAAACAGAACCTACCTGATCTCCGCATCGCTAGTAGGTTGGAGGGCCACCTTTGGCCATCGCTACAAGGAACCAGGTTCGCTACGGTCGTTCATCCGCGTTCGGACATGTTTGGACGCTCTTCGACCGATAGCGATGGCCATCGCTCGTGACCGCCTTCCTCCGTATTCTCCGTGCCCAGTGACCGTGAACTTCTCGTCTCGCACCACCGGATGACCAATGAAGGCCACATGGCTGCGGATCTGGTGACGACGCCCCGTGGCGATACGAACCTTGGCGATACGAAAGAAAGAGGGAACGAACGAACATGCACAGCTGGGAACGAACGTGTGCACATCAAAAAAGCACCGAAAAGAGGGTTCACAAACGTGCTTTAAGCAAAGCTGACCCCCCCAAACAAAAAAAAATGAGCGCAAAAGTATGAGGAGATGTCCCTGCTTTCTTCCAAGTGGCAATGATCATCGTTGCAACACCGAAAGCCCCAAGAGCATGGGCCGCCAACTGCATGTGCGCAACCCCAAAAAATGGTATGGACCTAACTGCCTTCATGAGCGCAAGGAATGTGGGTTGCAAAGCGTTCTGGATCAAAGACAAGGTCTTGATTAACTCTATTCAGTTCCAACTGTTTCAGCTTCCCTTACAATATACATATATATATAGTTTTTTGGTGTCTCAAACATAAGAACAACAAAAAGTTTGTACTCAGCTCAAGATCTGTGTCACGAGACTTTGGACCAAAGACTTCCTGACCAAAAACCAATTGAAGAGGGCTGGGCAAAAGACCAAGACTTCAAAAGCAAGTCCTCCAGGCTAAAAAGTGGCATTCAGGGGCGCCTCATTTGGGGTAGTAACTGATGTAACGTAGTATATCTCGAGGGTCCCAGGCATCTTCCGCACCTGCCTTGATGAAGCTTCGAGAAGGCTTGCCAAGGCGTCCAGTCCGAGTCGGATCTCCTTCGGTCGAACGACGAAGTGGCGTTCGGACGCGCTCGCGCTCGGTAGAGGCCAGGAGCTACGTCGGTTGGAGGCCCAAGAGCTACGGTCGCAGCAAAGAGCTGAGAGTCGTAGCTTCTAGCTACGGTCGTAGGAAATGCACCTTGTTCCTAGTAGCGATACACCTGGTTACCAGTAACTATAGATACTATAGTAGCTTTTCTGCAAATTTCAACAGTCCTGTGGAAGAACCCGGATCTTCTTCTATCGGAAAAAAAGCCTTCGAAAACCCAAAAAAAAAAGTCTTCAAGGTCGGTCCTCTCGTGTCGATGTTTGCTTCAACGCTTCGGTCGGATGGCATCCATCCATGACCTGAAAAGCACGCAAACTCGCCGGTCGGTCCCGCGTCTCACGTTTTCCGACCGGACACCCTCCTTCTCGTTCCGACCGTCGAGTCGGATCCCAGCGATCGAGCTCACTGAGGCCGAAGACACAACACCAAGTAGTCCCTGCGAATCTCCTCGGAGTCACACGAGCTGCGCCCTGCTCTCAGCAGTCGCCGGTTAGGAAAGCATCCACTTGAGATCCGCGCCCCTGCTCTCAGCTGAACCTGCACACGTGAGGCCCCCTTCTCCGATGGCCGAGTTGACAGAAGAACTGTCAGCCAAGTAGATCCAGGCAGGGGCGATGGGCAAGGTTTCTATCCGTAAAAGAATCATACAACTGAAGGGTCAAAAAGACGCTACCAGTAACAAAGGGCATCGCTACTAGGAGCAAGGACGCTACTAGGGGCTCCTGGCCTTACTACTAGGAGCAAGTAGCTACTAGTAACAAGAAGTAATTTAAAAAAATAGAATCAAATTGAATAATGTCATGTGATGATGTTCTGATTTGGTGGTTCGTGATGCGGTGTTCCAGGTCTATCACGATGATTTGTGCGGTCAATTGATGAGACGTCTACTGGTCGATCCTCAAATTCCTCTAGAAATCACTGGTCGACACTTTTCTTTTGAGACATCCATTGCCCAGACACTCCTATGCCATATATGCCCACATTGACCCCCAAAACCACCCCAATGTAGGCATATATAGCATACATGGAGGGTCTGGGTTGTTCAATATGTGTTATTCGGCCTGCGCCGCCCCAAGCATGCGCCCCAAATATTCTAACTCCATTCTATTGATGGAACTGCGCCATGGGCTACCACCAGCTGCCAACCATCCGCAACCCCGACTATGCGCTTTTGCATGTATAATCTAAACGAAATGTGGTGGTATGCGCCATCTGCCAAACCGCGTGACAACAACACACCATGACAACCAGCGCCGACCTTCCCTCCGCAAGTGCCCCCGCGCCACTGTCTGCGAAAGACTTGCCCAGCTTTCGTAACTTGATACAACCTTCGACTCCTTCCACTTCCACTAGTCAAAAATTAATCGCCTGGAGATCATAGAAGGCCCGGAAGCTCTTGGCAAAAAGGATCCTCAGTTCTATCGCTTGGATTGGCGTACTCATCAGCCATTGAAAAATGCATTGGCCAAGTTTCAACCCAGAGCAAGGCACGTCCACACGATGCAAAAACCCATGGTCATGGTCTGCACCTGAGATGATGGGCCGATGGTTCCAGCAGGCCGCTGAACGAACCTGAACTCCAGTGCTTCATCCGGAAGTCACCACCTCACCACTTGAGGATCTGCTCATTCAGTTTGGGAGGGGGAAAAGGAGGGTCGGTCGGCGTCCCCGGCATCACGGCGTCCGATGATCTTCGAGGAGTCACAGCCCGGCCACCGTCGAAAACAACCAATGCCGTTGTTGAAGTCTATCGTCTATCCCAAAGCCATTGGATTGGTTTCGTCTTCGAAGCTATCTGACCTATCTATGGGTGTACTGCATGTTGGTTCAAAAGGGGCCTTAGGAGAGATGGATTTACCGGCAAATTTCCAAATGATTCTTCAGGACCTTCGTAAGACATGATGTTGTAGAATTCTTCATCGCATCGCTGCAGACATGACTGCAGCGATGAATTCAGGCAACACAATCGAAGCAAACAATCAATAGGATGTCGAAGCCACAAAACCATATACCACCTTGATTTTCCAATATACCACTTCCGAGTTCTTGAGTTTTGTTTTTCATTTGGGATGGAAGGACCGTCCATCCCAAAGAACCGATCGCCTGGTGCTTTGGGCCTGGTTAGAAGAACCCAACGATCTCCTGACGTGACGTGAAAGGACGATCTCCTTGGACTAGCTGGTAGCAGTAGCAGTTTTTTGGGTCAACAATTGTTGTGGGCCGAGGCCATCGGAGGCCGGTCCCGATCATCTTCGTACAGTGCGAGGGCGGCTGGATCGAGAACGGGTACATAAGGCCCAAAAGCCAATGTCCATCCACACCACCGGCAAGCGCGTTCCACGAAACAAGGTGCTTGGAATCAAAAAGGGGCTGTCAGCACAAACACGATGTATGTATCGTTTCCCTAAGAATCTAGGAACCAAATCATCGAGAGTGAGCCATCCGGCATCCTAGCTAGGAGCGATCTTCTCCCTTAATTCAGTCGGTCGTCTCTACTTCATTGAGTAAGATAGGTCGTAAGGAGTAAGGAGCGCCGACAGACACCCCGCCCGTAGGCCGACGGTTGGCATCGGCGGTTGAGCAATTCGTTCGCCCTCTGCCTTTTTACCTGCTCGGCAAGATTGCACCCTTGTTCCGGCTCCGGGTTGGCTGTCCATCACATCGGCTGTCCATCGAGTTCAGACTTCTCACGAGGTCTGAGGTCCAGGTGAAACGCTGGTTTCAGCTGACCATGCGTTGGTCCGCCAT